CATGCAACTATTTTAAAAATAAATCACGTGTAACTCACAATACATGGCGTAGCCCAAACCGATCTTTGAAGTGGCTAGCGTCTCCCCGATTGGTGCCAAACTAGCTACGAGGTAGAGCACCGTCAACTCTCATTACAGCGTCCACCGTCGCCTTTTCTCACAATAGTTCTCCTTCTTAACCCTCAAACTACACATAAAGCTACAAACTCCCATTTTATACTAASCCCCATCGGCGRTTTCACGGAATWTGAAACRATAAGCCATAATAAATKGTYGTAGGTTTCATGACCATTGAGTTTCCTGTCATTAAATTGCATTCAATTTTAGGGTCTAAACTCTTCACTTTGATCGCTTTACACTATAAGTCCTTGAAATTTAACGACTAACAATTCATTTCCTCTTTTTTTTGGGTTATTACACTTTTCCACAAATACCTTGTTTTAGACAGTGCCGATCCTGACATTTTATGTGCCCTGAGCGATTTATAAAAAATGGGCCCTTTGTATCTAAAAAATCTATAATAAATGTATATGAGAAATATAAACAAGTCATGCATACAACACAACTTCAATGATAATTCATAGAAAACAGCTACAATAATATTTCATACAATACAACTTCTTCGAGAATTCTTCAATGCAAAATCATCAATAATAGTATCCAAATCAATACCATCTAGTATATCTTTTTCAATACATAGGATCGCCAATCCGTTTAGCTTTTCTTGTGACATTGATGACCTCAAGTATGTCTTCAATAATTTCAACTTTGAAAAACTCCTTTTGACAGATGCTACGGTCACAGGAACTGTCAACATAATTCGATATGCAACTGAAACATTAGGGTAACAATCTGCAATTTTGACAAACTCAAGAATATCAATCGCCGACATTGATTTATACGGTAAAGTCACTTGCAACACCTTTAATTCAGATACAAAATCATTTAAATCCACATCTGACACATTATTATGACAAAAGGTATTAGCAAAATTAACACAACATCTCATCAATTCATCCTCATCCAATGCCTTTAACTTATCGGAATCAAATAAGAATCCAAAAATACTTTCAAACTTCTTTAATTGCTCAAATCTATTATCCAATGAAGAAATTGACATATTCACAATGGATAGAAAATAATTAATTCTAAAAGCTTCTTCTTCCAATGCTTGCATATCTTCTTCATTGTTATTTTCGCTAAATTGTTTTTTCCTAATAATACGACACTAAGTAATAAATGTAGGATTTATATTCATTTCGCATGCTACTTTTTTAGCGGTATCCATACTTGATGCAAACCCATCATTCCTATATTTTTCAAAGTATTTCATCACACCTTCAAATTGTTCCATGGTAGCATTAATACACATAGATTTGAATAACAACTTTTTACTAACCATGTTTATTGCAAATAAAATATCATACCAAATAATCATACCAAGTAAAAACTCAAAATTTTCAATTGCACTTATCAAACTTTCCTCTTCACTTTTCGACTTGGCATCATCACATGCTTTTGATAATTCAAGTAAAGTCGATCTTATTTGAGGAGCTTGAAATCTAATGGCTTCCACACTTTTTATTTAACTCTCCCAACGTATATTGCATAAAGATTTTACAGTCATGTTTGAAACATTATCAAGTAACACCTTCCATCTTTTTGTAGAACTAGAAAATAATGTGTATATGCGTTGCACAATTCCAAAAAACAAAACAACTTTAATACAAGAATGAGCTATATCACTAAGAGTGAGATTAAGGCCATGACAAGGACATGGCATATACAAAGCTTTTGGATTAATTTCAAGTAACCGGTTTTGTACCCCTTGGTGTTTCCCCTTCATATTATAACCATTGTCATAGCCTTGACCTCTCACATCATCGACACTAAGATCAAGAGATTTAAGTACATCTAATAAGTCATTGAACAATCCTAAACCAGATGTATCATCAACCTTTAAAAATCCTAAAAAGTACTCTTCTATTTTAATTTTATTACCAGACATATTCACACATCTTATGATTAAACTCATTTGCATTTGATGACTCACATCCGATGTACAGTCAAGAATTACTAGAAAAATATTTAGCTTTTTTGATAATTTTTATGATAGAATTTTTAACACTATGAGCTAAAAGAGAAATCAACTCATTTTGAATTTTAGAACCAAGATAATGATAATGAATGTCATGATTTTGAATGCGCCTAATATGATCTTGAATTATCACATCAGATTCTCCAATCATTTCAATTAATCCCAAAAAACTACCATTACCATATTGATATAACTTCTCATTAGATCCTCTAAAAGGCAAACAATATTTGGCAAGACATTTCACAACGGCAATTATTCTTACTAAAACTTTCCTCCAACGTTCTTTCTCTTTTAAAATTTCTTGTTGTAAATCTTTATCAATCGTTTGGCTTGTATTAGCCTTATTCTCAATTCATTCCAAGATAACATATTACTCATATGCTCAATACTATTCTCATGTTTCTTAAGTCTTTCACCAAGATGCTTCCAATATCTAAATCCATCATTAGCTATTGCATTTTTATAGTTTCTAGACTTGAACAACCTGCAACAAAAACAATACACTTTGTCTACATGTTTTGAATAAACTAGACATTTCTGGTCACTAGACTCATAATTACTTAACTTTATATCATAATAAGAATAGGAAAAATGCCTAGACGTGCTATCTATAGGAAACACTATATTAAATTCTCTAATAGGCCCCATTTCAACTAAAATATCTCTTGATTTATTGTCAAGATTATCCCAATTACTAGGATCATAAATATCAAAAAAGGGGGTATATTGTTCAACATGTGGATGCTCAAGATTATGTTCCACATTTGGGTGCTCAACATTATGTTCATCTAAATTTTCATTAGATGTGCCTATGCCTCTAACAAATTTGTCGATGGCCCCTTTTTGTAATTGTACTAATTGCTCAACTAATTTTCTTTTTTTCCTTTTCTCACTTCCAGACAAATGTTTTTTAGGCATTATGCTTAAACAATTAACAAACTCAAACAAAATAAGAACAGAAGCACCAAAGTCTCGGAATATGTTTCGAAATCGAATAAGTTAACTCTGGTATTCCTTGATTTGTAGATTGTAGTCTATAGATTTAAAAAAATAGACAAAGTTAGCTATTAGTCTTGGGCAGTGAGAAAGTAGTTAATTTCTTGTCAATTTTGCCATTTTGGCATAGAATAAAAAGGAACATGAATAATAAAGCAGTCCCAAGATAGAATTCGGATAAATAAATAAGATACAAACAGAAAGAAAAAGAGGTACACAACCCCCCTCCCTCTTGCAATGGACATATAACAAGAGTGAAATGATCAATGATTTAATGTACTACATGGAAAATCTAATATTTGTTCTATCTTGATATAAAGTTCTTGAACTCAAGGGAACAACAGACTACTTAACGAATAAATCATTCTGCTTTGAAACCAAATTGGCACTTCCCATAACCCTATTTCCTAACTGTACCATCTACACAATGCAATTTCTTGCCAGGAACTAAATTAGCATCCAAGACAGGTAAGACTGCTTCAATAATCACAATTCCATACACTAAAAACTTCTATCGATTTCCAAACAGAACAACAAGGTCTAAAAAATCATTACTTACAGAAATCACAGTCTTGATCCTTGAAGTCAAAATCTCAGAAGCGTCGAACAACCATACACTAAAAACTTCTATCGATTTCCAAACAGAACAACAAGGTCTAAAAAATCATTACTTACAGAAATCACAGTCTTGATTMTTGAAGTCAAAATCTCAGAAGCGTCGAACAACCAATGAACGATAGAACTTGCTGATGAAAGATGGAGTTTTTAGCATAGTTGATCCTCCTTTGAAGGCCTAATAGAGTTCTTGATAGGGTTCAAATCTGTAAAATCAACAATGTTTATTTTTGTTCAAATTTTCACTTATTATAAATATGCCATGATTTAGTCCATAGATTTAAAGGATTAAAGGTTAAGATTGGTTCATATAATTAACACCAATTATTGGGTTAACAAAAAAACCAGCAGTATGCATATACGAATGTACGTATGATTAGAAATCGTCTAATATAATGGAAAAAAGCCCAATAGTTCCATTTGATGGAAGAAAACCAATAGCCATACAAACTACCACAATGTCAAACGTGACCATTATTAGTATATATAAAACTCTAGGACTTTATTTGTGGTTGAGCCATTACCACGTTAACACGATAACAATAGTTCTAGGATCACACGCAACAACCACCATACATGTCTTTTTCACCCATGTTGACAATTTAGTTTCATACTAAGTGGATATATATAAGAGGATTTCAGTCAAGAAGTAAACTACTTTTGTTATCAAAACAGAAAAACTCTTCTGTTTAGGTTATCTAACATAGGTAGCCGTGGTTGAAATAATCTACAAGCTCTTATCTATACCCACATGGTTCTCTTTGAATAGAGAAGTCATGGAGTTCAATCCCTCGTTTCCTACAACTGTAGCAGTCACATTTTTGGTCATTGCAGTAGCTTTCCTGTTCTATGTTGCAAATCGTAAAAGGGCAAAGAAAGGGAAGAAAAGGGAACCACCTCAAGCAAACGGTGCATGGCCAATAATCGGACACTTGCACCTTCTAGGTGGATCTAACCCACCTCACAAGGTTTTAGGTGATATGGCAGATAAACATGGCCCTATCTTCACCATTAAGCTTGGTATCCATCAAGCTTTGGTGGTGAGTAACTCGGAGATAGCCAAGGATTGTTTTACTACAAACGACAAGGTTCTTGCAAGTCGACCTAAAGCAGAGGCCGTAAAAATCCTGACCAATAATTATGCCCTTTTCGGTTTTACGCCGTATGGGGATTATTGGCGACAAGTGCGCAAGATGGTCATGCTTGAGGTTCTTTCTCAACGACGAGTTGAGATGCTTGGAGGTATTCGAGTTTCAGAAGTTAGAGCTTCCATCAAAGATCTATATGATGCTTGGGAAGAGAAGAAAGAGAGTGAACATTCTGACATGGTGAAGGTGGAGATGAACCATTGGTTTGGCAACTTGATGTTAAACATTATGGTTAGGATTATTTCAGGAAAGAAGCTTTTGCATAACGATGAAGAAAGGGTTCGATTTCAGGCGGTCGTAAAGAAATTCGTTCACTTATTAGGTGTATTTGTGGTCTCAGACTATATCCCGTATCTCAAGTGTTTGGATGTGGGTGGACACTTCAATGTTATGAAAAAGATAACTCGAGATTTGGATGACATCTTTGAGGGATGGTTAAAGGAACCCAAAACAGACAGCGAATCTACACAACAACGTGAAAGCAGCCAAGCCTTCATAAATGTGCTCGTTTCCACTCTTCAAAGTGCTTCTGAAGAGGATTTCCCTGGTTTTGACCATGATACAATTATCAAAGCCACATGTCAAGTAAATCAAACTTCCTTTATCACCTTATTTGGTTATATCTTATTAGATTGTTCAAGTTCGTAAATGGTACTTGTTAAGCCATGTAACTTGGTTCTAACAACTTATTGTAACACCGTTGTATGAGACTCAAAATTGTTGATTTTACAGATTTGAATCCTATCAAGAACTCTATTAGGCCTTCAAAGGAGGATCAACTGTGCTAAAAACTCCATCTTTTATAGTGTTTTGGGATATCTATATTGGTTTATAGTATTTTTCTCGTGTTCATGTTTTAAATGCTTTTAGTATGTTGACTATAACCTAATCCAAGTGCTTTTGGTGTAAATGCCATTTCGCAGCAACTCCTAATAGCCGGCTTGGACACGACTTCTGTGACTTTGACATGGGCTTTATCGTTGCTGCTCAACAACCCGAAATCATTAGAAATAGTCCAAGATGAAATTGACGAGCATGTTGGAAGGGACAGACCGGTGGAGGAGTCAGACATTAAGAACTTGGTTTACCTCGATGCCGTCATCAAAGAAACATTGCGTTTATATCCACCTGCTCCTCTCTCGGTTCCCCATGAGTCAATGGAGGACTGCATTGTGGGTGGCTACAACATCCCAAAAGGTACTCGTCTGTTGGTCAATCTTTCGAAAATGCAACGTGATCCAAACATCTGGTCAGATCCCTTGGAATTTCGACCCGAAAGGTTCTTGACAACTCACAAGGATATTGACTTGAAGGGAAACCATTTTGAATTGCTTCCATTCGGTAGTGGTAGAAGAATGTGCCCTGGCATTTCGTTTGGTCTCCTGTCTTTGGGTTTAACACTTGCTAGTTTGATACAACAGTTTGTGCTCCAAAAACCATCGAACGAACCCATGGATATAAGTGAAAGTTCGGGACTGATTAACAGCAAAGAAACACCACTTGTTGTCTTTCTATCTCCTCGTTTATCTTCTAATATGTATCGTGTGGGTTCATGATATACCAACTTCTGATCACCTACAAACCCAACTCCACCCATCAATCCCCACAAGCCACCCTGCGATTAAAGTGAGCCGATTTGTGTTAGAATTTAATGACAAAATCAGATAAATTAGTTGTTGGGTCAGTATGGATCAGTAAGTTGGGCCGTAGGCCATCAAATTGGGTCAATAGGCTGTCCATTATGATAGCAGTTACAAGTTG